AAATCCTATGAGGAGAATTTTCCGCCTTTAGGCTCTAACAAGTCCTCAGCCTTAAGGACCCCGTCCTTCAAGAGCAACTTTGCGAAAAGGCTCTACAGCGAGGAGCGGAGAAAGTCTAATGTTGTCCCCCCTTTAACGCCCCGATCACCGAGAGCCTTGGATTATTCCAATCCACCTTGGGTAATCCTACAGTGCCACAGATGTCAAGGTTTTGGACATCTTAAGGGTTCGTGTAGGAGGCCCTTCAATTGTTTGAAATGTGCGGGCCGTCATCCTACCACGGCCTGCCAAAAACCCCGCTTTCGTCCTGCCTTGTGCTGCAACTGTGGCGGACGCCATGTGTCCTCCTACAGGGGCTGTCCTGCATATCAGGATTACAAAAATGGTCACTTTGACACTCATCAGCGCAAGAAGGCTGGTATACGTCGTCCCCACAAACGGCCACCAGCTCGTCATACTCCAAAGCATGATCGCCCAATTCAAAAACCCAGTCAAAATCGTTTTGCCATCCTGAAGGCCTCTGAGCAATCGGCGCAGCACTTGGGTGATAGTTTTGGCTACAGGAATAGGAACAGCAACATAAACTCCCAATTAACCGATAGGCGAAACCAAAATCAGCGCTCGGTTTTGGGAAAGAGGAAAGGCCAAACCCCTTTGTCCAAGTCCCCTGGTTATGACCGTGTTAGCAAAGGCAGCATTCCAATCCTTTTCGCAGCCAGGATAAGAAGAAACTTAAAAATCTGGCCGAATCCCACCTGGCTAGATTTCAAACAAGGCTTCGGATGGAGCACAATCAAAATAATACTAATAATACTAATAAAATAAGAATAGAGGACAATTCAAGGCAACGGCAGCGTCAGCATGAGATGTTGCCACCCAAACCCAAATCGTATCAGGAGCAGCTCGATCATTGGCAGCAAAGGCTGTTGGCTGTTGAGGATCAACAGAGGCAGTTTATCCTGGAAGGGAACCAGATAAATAAAAAGTTTTGCTTAAAGTTGAGGAGCTTGGGAAGTCATTTATTAAATTACTTGAATCTATAAATAAAATTACTGCAGCTTTTGACATAACAGAGCTGTCTATTAATAATACAAAATTACAAAGCATTTGTCACTCGGTTGAGATGGCATCTGTCGACGAGGAGGATTCACTTGTCCAACTATTAAACGCTAATGATGTTTATTATGATTAGTTCTTCCTTCCATCCTCCCTTTCAGCAGTGCCAAGGAAAAAATCCAAAAAATCCAAAGCTGCTAAAAATTTGCTTCTGGAATGCGGGCGGCGTTTCCAACAAGCTGGCTGATTTGAAGGAATTTTTAGCCAATTACAATATAGATGTCATGCTTATATGTGAGTCCAAAGTCGGATCTCTCACTATTGATGGATACCATTCATATTTGGCCAGAAACCCGGTAAACCATCGTAAGGGCGGAGCTGCAACTCTTGTCCGCCATGGACTGTCACACTCTGTCCTTAGCCCTGAGGAGTTTGAATCATATCAAGCCTGTCCTGTCTTGATTAACAATGTTGTTGTGTCATCCATTTATTGTCCACCGTCTATTAGATGGGCAGTCGGCGAATTTACCCAGCTCCTCAGGCGTATAGACGCGCTCTGCCCACCAAGCTCCTTGCGCTTTATATTGGCGGGTGATTGGAATGCCAAGGACCAGATGTGGGGCAGTGCTCGTGGTTGTTGCAGGGGCAAATTATTAGCCGAAGCTATACATTCTAGAGCCAGATACAATGTTCTTGCCACAGGATCAGCTACCCATTTTCCTTTTAGCCGGAAATCTAATCCATCTAATTTGGATTTTGGGATATATTCTGGTTTTTCCCCAAAACACATCCGTATCTCATCGATGGATGGGCTTTACTCAGACCACCTCCCTATGCTTATTGAGGCAGCCCTTGGGTGTGCTCCTTTGGCTCTTCCGGATGCCCCTTCAGTTATCAATTGGCCTCTTTTTCCTCCTCGTAGCGTCCATGGTTTCAAGGCTTTTCAATCAACACTTGAGAGGAGCATAAACCTTAACATGGAATTGAAATCAATAGAGGATATTGATGATGCCATTGGTATTCTTACCCGGAAAATCCGTGAAGCTTTGGACCAACATGCTGCTTTCCATCCTGTTCCTAAAAGACACCCCCCGACAGCAAAGCTGGATCTTCGCACTAAAATTCTGCTGTTCCAAGCAAATTTCCTCAGAAGAAGTCTAAGGAAAAAACGAACACCTAATAATAAAAGGAAGCTTGGAATAATAAAAAATAGACTTTCTAAAGCCATTAAGCGGACTAAACAAAACAACATTGATCGCCAGTTAGCCCGCCTGGACCCAAGCGACAAGTATATTATGTCAAGGATTTGGAAGATCACCAGGAACTTGAAGCGTGTTGCTCCTTCTAGCCATCCACTCAAATTTCGGATTGATGTGCCTCCTAATGCTGCTATGACCAGGATGCCTGAATCTAGGTGGACAAGGACGGAACGGGAAAAAGCTGACGTATTTGCATCCCATCTTGAGGAGCGTTTTTCTCCCAACTTTAATATCTTGAACCTGGATTTGGATAAAAAGGCATTAGTAGATGAACTAAACAAGCTGATGGTAAACTCACCCACTAACACTGGCAACTCACTTTTCTTCCGCCTTGATGAGCTGAAAACTATCGTCGCTGGGCTTGCCACCTCAAAGTCTCCTGGTCAGGACAGGATCACCAATAAACTCATCAAAGCCTTGCCCAAGAAAGCTCTTCTCTTTCTCCTTAATATTTATAATTGTTCGCTCAGGCTGGGTTATTTTCCGTCCAAGTGGAAACAGGCGGAAATTTCGATGATCCTCAAGCCCGGAAAGTCGGTCCATGATCCATCCTCCTATCGGCCAATCAGCTTGCTCCCTGGTTTCTCAAAAATATTTGAAAGATTGCTGTTGAATAAAATGCTAAAATATGAAAATTTTGCCAAGGCTATACCCTATCACCAATTTGGTTTTAGGGAAGGTCACAGCGGTGAACAGCAAATTTTTAGAGTCTGCCAGTACATTCTCAAAGCCTTTGATAATAAAGAGTACTGTTCAGCTGTGTTTATCGACTTTACACAGGCTTTTGACAGAGTATGGCACGATGGGATCCTTCTAAAATTGTTTAAACTGCTTCCCTTCCAGCTTTTCAACATACTGCGTAGCTACCTTTCTGGCAGGACTTTCTTTGTTAAAGGTGGAAATGGAACCAGATCGCTTATTAAGGATGTCAAGGCCGGGGTCCCCCAGGGCAGTGTCTTGGGACCCTTCCTTTATTCTATCTTCACCTCCGACTTGCCCCTTCCGGAAATGATTTCAAATTTTCCTGCTTGCCATAACCCGGAAAAATTATTGTTGGCTACTTATGCTGATGACTCGGCTGTGCTGTACAGCTGCAAAACACCGCAAGCAGCTGCCGGAGGCCTTAATGTCTACCTCAGCGCCTTTTGTGATTGGGCAAATAAATGGGGGCTCAAAATTAACACCTCAAAATGCGCCACGGTGTGCTTCACCCTTAATAAGGTGGTGAGCTTCAAGTACTGCGATATATTCATTGGGAAAGAGAAAATCCGGAGTAGTAAATCATTTAATTATCTTGGGGTCACACTTGACGAGAAATTGACCCTTAAATCTCATACAACCCACCTCTGCATTAGGGTCCGTGCGAGGGCCAAAAAACTCAATTGGCTTATTGGCCCAAATAGCCATTTAAATAGGGCCACCAAGTCAACTCTTATTAAACAACTTATCATGCCACTTTGGCAATACGCGCTACCGGTGTGGGCATCTTTATCCTCCGACACCTCTGTGAATAAAGTCCAATCAACAACCAATCGAATCATTCGTAAGGCTCTGGGCTATGATAGGTACGCCAAAAATAATGATATTTTTCTATTAAATAATATTAAAACCTTGGATGACCTCTACACTGAGCACTGCAATCGCTTCTTTGTCACAGCACTGGGTAACGATAACCCAGCTGTCAAAGAACTAGGAACGAATCCTGTCTCACTACGGAGAATAAGCAGATCTAGGCTGAGATACTTGAAGCTGTTGCAGGGGCACCTTTCTATCAACAAAAAGATAACCAACAAGGGCAATAAACTTGCTAAACCCACTCCCCCAACCCTCCTGCGTATGTATGAAGAGGAGGTGCAGCGGCTGAGACTGGAAAAACTCAGTTTGTTGAAAAAGTCTGCCACAGCTCAAAGGCTGCCCAGCCCTATTGAGATTGTTGACTCTCCTCCTAGGAAAAGAAAGAATCCAAATAGGGATAGCCACGCTAGACATGTCCTGCAACCACCTTCAGCTCACCTGCCTTCGAAATTCCAAGGGGAAATGATCAAAGCCCTTAGGAGACTTTTTACCTGCGGCGCCCTTTCACGGGCCAGTGTTGTTGATTTAATTAAGTCCCAAGCTCCTGCGATAAGACGGTGTATTATCCCTGACTGCGGCCCGGAGGACTTTGATGAGGACGCTAATATGGACTCTTGCTGGCCTTGCTCACCAACTTTAATTGAGATCCCTGACTCTCCGGATCTTTAATTACTTTCGTTCCTGTGCAATAAACACTCACCTGACAGTTTCAGACGCCAATCTTGCAACCTGTGCCTGACTATATGGATTCTTGCTGGCCTTGCTCACTAACTTTAACTGAGATTCCTGACTCTCCGGATCTTTAATTACTTTCGTTCCTGTGCAATAAACACTTACCTGACAGTTTCAGACGCCAATCTTGCAACCTGTGCCTGACGAGTTCTACGGACAAATTTCACTAACTCTGCGATATTCTTTCCCTCTGCAATATGGATTGACATGGATTACCTCCGCATTTGTGATGTCCCGCAATGTACCTGAAAATAAAAGGAAAAAAAAAAAGGGAAAATAAACAATAAAAGGAATCCTTATCAGCAAACATGGAACTTCCCTTATCTATTTTGCCATTATTAACTTCCTTCCTTTCATCCTTGTCGTCCTATGAAGCCTTTTTGACAAATCTACTGGACCTTCTCCTGACGATCTCCTCCCGGGTAAATTTGGACAACGGGGTCAACCTGCTATGGAAACCAAACTGTGATATATATGCTGTGATATTTTTTTTAAGACAAGGATTACCCCTGATTTTATGATAATTATTTTACTCTGTTGGACGACTTTTACCCCCCTGGACCTCTTGATGTATTTACTTGGACGATGGCCTCCTGAAAAACAAATTTGGAGTGTTGGAATTTATTATAATGACTATGGATACTTACCTGCTGAACTCTTGACCTGATTCCTGTCCCTCCTGATGTCAATTCTTATGTTTTTGGAGCTGCCCTCGTCCGTCCACTTTTGTGCCATTTTGTTTAAAGTTATGCCATTTTTCCCGGAACTGCAGCAATCTGGAGAGGAATCAAAACAAAATCAATGTTTACAAATTGGAACTTTGCAAGGGGGCTGCCAGCATGTTTTTCACACTAAATAAATAAATTAAAAGTTGAAATAAACCTCCATGATGAGAATCCCCATTTGATGATGATTTTGGCCATAGTTAATGTTTTTCCTTTTTGACTATGTCCTTGTTTTCTGATAAATGTTTTCGTCGTACTTATTGTCAATTATTGTAAATTTTTACCTTTTACTAAATTATGGCAATTCTCTTCCATGTCTCTGAGAGCGTTGCCACCCATCCACGTCACGATGTTACCAGTTGCCATGGATGATGCTATCGGATTTGCCATATGCCAAGGATTGGCATGAATTGCCCGGCAATTTATCCAAAATGCCCCCGTCGTCCTGCTCCAGCTCCGTTTTACCACCGCTGATGTCTTGCTGCGCTTCAACAAAATTCCCGCCAATGTGACGCTGCAGCCCTTGTCACTGTATAAGACTTCTGATGTTTTTGCTGCAACCCTGTTATCGATGCCCTGCCGTCCCAAAGAATTCTTTTTTCCCGCCATGTTTATCGATGTCGCTTTTTCCCGCCATGTAAAGTGGTGAGTATTCGGAACAAAAGTTGCCCTCTGGGGTAATACTCCGGATGCTCACCACTCACTCTGCAATTGTGACCGTTGGCGGCGGTCGTCCCAAAATCCCAAAACCTAGTAAAAATCTAAAAATCTAATTAAACAGAACTGAACCAAATCCATGTAAACTAAAGTAAAACCAAAAGTAAAACCCATGTAAATCCATGTAAACTGTTTTTGTGAAAAGTTAAAAGCCAACTAAATTGTGAAACTAAAATTGTAAAACCAATTGCAGAACTCAAAAGCCAATAGAACAAACGATTAAAGACAAAATCAAAAGCCAATAAAACAATCAATTAAATTAAAAAATCAAAATTAAAAAAAAAAAAAAAACAAAGTGTTAATTTATTATTTTGGTGGTACCGGAAATTTTAATCAAAATTTGGAGAAACACACACACACACGAAGGAGTGCGGAATAGCGGCATACAGGAGCTGGACAAGTAACTGGACAAGAAGGAGAAGGAAGGAAAAAGTTTTTTATAATGGATACCTTTTTTGAATCGGACGACGAGATAATTTTCGATATTTCATCCCCAATTTCCTTAATTCTACCGGATGTTTCCTCACCTCACCGCTGTGAGTATGAATCTAAATTTAATAAATCACCCTCACTTCCCTCCTCGGTGGCGGAAACATACCTATCAAACGATGTTCTTCCAAAAAATTCCCCAATTATTTCCATGGGAAATTTGCCAAAGAGCCCCTGCTCTTCTGCCCAGGAGGTTAATGCCCCCCTCATAGCGTGCATTCTGGGCTCCAACCAATACCAGGTCATACATATGAAAATAGGAATACAAATAACTGCGCAAGCGCAAGCCGTTTTTTCCCCACTCACCCACACACCTGTACGGAGACAGATATTAAAAGAGGAGACAAACGCACACACACCAACGACGAAGAACATACTCTGATCTCTTCGAATGAGAAATTGACACCTGCCATTAACAGTGGCAAAGATAACAGACATAATAATAAACGAAATCTTTCCTCATCTCCGACTGTGCTTTTTAGCACGGAAAAAAGGGTCCTCCTGGAGGAGTCCCTTGTTAAATGTAACAAGCAAATTAACTGCAGCCCCCCTTGCCACACCTCTATTGTTACCCCAAAAGACATTAACATACATAAAAATGTTAACTCAATTAACAGTCCCCCCATTCGCAATCCAGTATGTGCATTAACATTAGCAGCGCCAGGACAGGGCGCCATCTGTTGTCCTAAAACAAAAGTGCCTTTTGAACCACTTGTTGTTTCTTCATGTAATGTAAATTTAGAAAATGGAACAACTTCCGCTGACAAAGCCAAAGCCCATGAACTTGGACCCAAATCCTTTGCCCAAGGGGATCTAACTCCAGCTGCTCTGGAAATAGGAAATGATAAACAGGGCCCTTCCTCCTCTGTCAAAATACAGTCGGTGCAGGTCCTTAAAAACTTTTTCTCTGACTTGAAAAATTTTGCCATTACTAAACCTGCCACGCCCCTACCTCCGATACGCCCCTCTCTCAAACCAAGTATAAACCTGAAAGCTCCCAGTGCAGCCAGTTCGGTAGACCAAGGTCCTTTGTTTTTAAAGCCAAAGCCCTGGTCCATACATCGCCAAATTCGCTTGGTGAGATTGAGCGTATCAGGACTAAAAGGCAACAGCAGCAGCAGCAGCATAGGCAACAGCAACAGAAATCAAACATATATGCGAAATCCTATGAGGAGAATTTTCCGCCTTTAGGCTCTAACAAGTCCTCAGCCTTAAGGACCCCGTCCTTCAAGAGCAACTTTGCGAAAAGGCTCTACAGCGAGGAGCGGAGAAAGTCTAATGTTGTCCCCCCTTTAACGCCCCGATCACCGAGAGCCTTGGATTATTCCAATCCACCTTGGGTAATCCTACAGTGCCACAGATGTCAAGGTTTTGGACATCTTAAGGGTTCGTGTAGGAGGCCCTTCAATTGTTTGAAATGTGCGGGCCGTCATCCTACCACGGCCTGCCAAAAACCCCGCTTTCGTCCTGCCTTGTGCTGCAACTGTGGCGGACGCCATGTGTCCTCCTACAGGGGCTGTCCTGCATATCAGGATTACAAAAATGGTCACTTTGACACTCATCAGCGCAAGAAGGCTGGTATACGTCGTCCCCACAAACGGCCACCAGCTCGTCATACTCCAAAGCATGATCGCCCAATTCAAAACCCAGTCAAAATCGTTTTGCCATCCTGAAGGCCTCTGAGCAATCGGCGCAGCACTTGGGTGATAGTTTTGGCTACAGGAATAGGAACAGCAACATAAACTCCCAATTAACCGATAGGCGAAACCAAAATCAGCGCTCGGTTTTGGGAAAGAGGAAAGGCCAAACCCCTTTGTCCAAGTCCCCTGGTTATGACCGTGTTAGCAAAAGGCAGCATTCCAATCCTTTTCGCAGCCAGGATAAGAAGAAACTTAAAAATCTGGCCGAATCCCACCTGGCTAGATTTCAAACAAGGCTTCGGATGGAGCACAATCAAAATAATACTAATAATACTAATAAAATAAGAATAGAGGACAATTCAAGGCAACGGCAGCGTCAGCATGAGATGTTGCCACCCAAACCCAAATCGTATCAGGAGCAGCTCGATCATTGGCAGCAAAGGCTGTTGGCTGTTGAGGATCAACAGAGGCAGTTTATCCTGGAAGGGAACCAGATAAATAAAAAAGTTTTGCTTAAAGTTGAGGAGCTTGGGAAGTCATTTATTAAATTACTTGAATCTATAAATAAAATTACTGCAGCTTTTGACATAACAGAGCTGTCTATTAATAATACAAAATTACAAAGCATTTGTCACTCGGTTGAGATGGCATCTGTCGACGAGGAGGATTCACTTGTCCAACTATTAAACGCTAATGATGTTTATTATGATTAGTTCTTCCTTCCATCCTCCCTTTCAGCAGTGCCAAGGAAAAAATCCAAAAATCCAAAGCTGCTAAAAATTTGCTTCTGGAATGCGGGCGGCGTTTCCAACAAGCTGGCTGATTTGAAGGAATTTTTAGCCAATTACAATATAGATGTCATGCTTATATGTGAGTCCAAAGTCGGATCTCTCACTATTGATGGATACCATTCATATTTGGCCAGAAACCCGGTAAACCATCGTAAGGGCGGAGCTGCAACTCTTGTCCGCCATGGACTGTCACACTCTGTCCTTAGCCCTGAGGAGTTTGAATCATATCAAGCCTGTCCTGTCTTGATTAACAATGTTGTTGTGTCATCCATTTATTGTCCACCGTCTATTAGATGGGCAGTCGGCGAATTTACCCAGCTCCTCAGGCGTATAGACGCGCTCTGCCCACCAAGCTCCTTGCGCTTTATATTGGCGGGTGATTGGAATGCCAAGGACCAGATGTGGGGCAGTGCTCGTGGTTGTTGCAGGGGCAAATTATTAGCCGAAGCTATACATTCTAGAGCCAGATACAATGTTCTTGCCACAGGATCAGCTACCCATTTTCCTTTTAGCCGGAAATCTAATCCATCTAATTTGGATTTTGGGATATATTCTGGTTTTTCCCCAAAACACATCCGTATCTCATCGATGGATGGGCTTTACTCAGACCACCTCCCTATGCTTATTGAGGCAGCCCTTGGGTGTGCTCCTTTGGCTCTTCCGGATGCCCCTTCAGTTATCAATTGGCCTCTTTTTCCTCCTCGTAGCGTCCATGGTTTCAAGGCTTTTCAATCAACACTTGAGAGGAGCATAAACCTTAACATGGAATTGAAATCAATAGAGGATATTGATGATGCCATTGGTATTCTTACCCGGAAAATCCGTGAAGCTTTGGACCAACATGCTGCTTTCCATCCTGTTCCTAAAAGACACCCCCGACAGCAAAGCTGGATCTTCGCACTAAAATTCTGCTGTTCCAAGCAAATTTCCTCAGAAGAAGTCTAAGGAAAAAACGAACACCTAATAATAAAAGGAAGCTTGGAATAATAAAAAATAGACTTTCTAAAGCCATTAAGCGGACTAAACAAAACAACATTGATCGCCAGTTAGCCCGCCTGGACCCAAGCGACAAGTATATTATGTCAAGGATTTGGAAGATCACCAGGAACTTGAAGCGTGTTGCTCCTTCTAGCCATCCACTCAAATTTCGGATTGATGTGCCTCCTAATGCTGCTATGACCAGGATGCCTGAATCTAGGTGGACAAGGACGGAACGGGAAAAAGCTGACGTATTTGCATCCCATCTTGAGGAGCGTTTTTCTCCCAACTTTAATATCTTGAACCTGGATTTGGATAAAAAGGCATTAGTAGATGAACTAAACAAGCTGATGGTAAACTCACCCACTAACACTGGCAACTCACTTTTCTTCCGCCTTGATGAGCTGAAAACTATCGTCGCTGGGCTTGCCACCTCAAAGTCTCCTGGTCAGGACAGGATCACCAATAAACTCATCAAAGCCTTGCCCAAGAAAGCTCTTCTCTTTCTCCTTAATATTTATAATTGTTCGCTCAGGCTGGGTTATTTTCCGTCCAAGTGGAAACAGGCGGAAATTTCGATGATCCTCAAGCCCGGAAAGTCGGTCCATGATCCATCCTCCTATCGGCCAATCAGCTTGCTCCCTGGTTTCTCAAAAATATTTGAAAGATTGCTGTTGAATAAAATGCTAAAATATGAAAATTTTGCCAAGGCTATACCCTATCACCAATTTGGTTTTAGGGAAGGTCACAGCGGTGAACAGCAAATTTTTAGAGTCTGCCAGTACATTCTCAAAGCCTTTGATAATAAAGAGTACTGTTCAGCTGTGTTTATCGACTTTACACAGGCTTTTGACAGAGTATGGCACGATGGGCTCCTTCTAAAATTGTTTAAACTGCTTCCCTTCCAGCTTTTCAACATACTGCGTAGCTACCTTTCTGGCAGGACTTTCTTTGTTAAAGGTGGAAATGGAACCAGATCGCTTATTAAGGATGTCAAGGCCGGGGTCCCCCAGGGCAGTGTCTTGGGACCCTTCCTTTATTCTATCTTCACCTCCGACTTGCCCCTTCCGGAAATGATTTCAAATTTTCCTGCTTGCCATAACCCGGAAAAATTATTGTTGGCTACTTATGCTGATGACTCGGCTGTGCTGTACAGCTGCAAAACACCGCAAGCAGCTGCCGGAGGCCTTAATGTCTACCTCAGCGCCTTTTGTGATTGGGCAAATAAATGGGGGCTCAAAATTAACACCTCAAAATGCGCCACGGTGTGCTTCACCCTTAATAAGGTGGTGAGCTTCAAGTACTGCGATATATTCATTGGGAAAGAGAA